TGGCATCTACTGAGACCATGCAGTCGTTTGTCTTCTCCTCAAAACTCGAATCATGACACTTTCTATGATGTATTTAAACCAGTTTGTTAATGATTTGTTGCCCCCTCACATATAACTGAGTAATATGTTTACATGGAGCCTCTGTGGCTCTGGTCTTTTCTTGTGTGGACACCGGCTACATACAGAAACACAGTGAGGACTTGTGTACGATCACCTCTTTACTCGAACCCTCGGATAACCAAAAAAGGAAAATCTGTTACTGTTGCTAAATATCTTTTTTAATCATGCATTAAGCTGATAGCACGAGAATTACAGCTTTAATGGGTTCGATTTTTCTGAAAGAGATAAAAAAATACAGTTAGTTGATAATAAGCAGCAACCATGAGTCCAAATGTTCATGGAAAAAGCACAGAAACACAGCTTTGTCGTATTTAAAGTATACCCAAACCTAAAAACAGATGATGATCGCACAGTATTTGAACAGTTTATTCCCAGAAATAAATCCAGAGGTTCCTTTGTTGGAAGAGACGGGAGCAGAGCAGACCTGGAGTTTAATCACAGAGTCGGGAGAGCAATGAGACCAGTGAGGGTTAGCGGTCCATACAGAACTGGTGTTTGGTGTCAGTGGATGAAGACCAGTGACTCCCAATCATCAACGCGAGTTTAACACGAGTACATAGTTTATCGTGTTCTCTGTTACCTCTCATAGACAGACTGATTATTCATGTTCTGCACTCTGTCCAGAGCTCTAACATTTTGTTTGACTGTAACATTATTTTAAATCCAGACAAACACTGAATCTTTACAGCTTGTAACCTAAAATAAAAAATCAGGGAATAAATCATTGATCCCGTCCTACTGTGCAGACTAAACCATCACAGTGCTCGCTCTCACAGACGGAGTGATGAAGGGCCGTGTGGAGATACAGAAATTCTTTTATTGCTGCCATATAATCTGCATCATTATAACTGCATTAATAACATTCTTTACAGCATTATTTCATCTAATAATGTTTCTCACAGTACTGATACTGCATTACAGCTGTTTATTGAAGATGTCCATTTGAGGATCCTTCCATTATGTTAACTTTTATTACAAGTACGGTTAGAAGTATTTTATACACATTGCATATCTGTGCTTATTTTGAGTTGATGTTCGGTTCATTGAGGGTCTTAAGCTTCACTGGCGTGACTGTCCAGGTGATCCATGTTGAGGGAAACTAGAACATAGAAGGATAACTGCAATGCATGCTCACAGTACATATAACACATATAATCTAGGAATGTGTCCGGCCGTAGGCCTTAACTCATTTGGTGTCTTAATATATTTTACTCTACTTGGTAGCAGACGATCAGTCAATAATTAGCCTCAGAGACCAGAGGGCTTGAAGTTTATTACCTTGTATGGAAGGTGTTATAGAAAAGAGAAGTTCTGTGTCTGCTTATAGCTATTAAAGATGTACAATTAACTGTGACTAATGTCTGGAACCTATTTTAATCTGTCATTGACGCCGTGGGGGGGCGTGTACCCCACTGCTTTATAAGTATCCACAACATGTATGTTGGTCAGGAGACATATGTTGATGTTTTCTCCGGGCTGTTAATAAACTCATCGTTTGATTGCACTTTTCTGGGGCTTCCATGGTTTGTGACACTGCTCTACATGGATTGATTTCACGACAGCCGTTTGAACCATTTAGAAAAGAATAGAATAGAATAGAATAGAATAGAATAGAATAGAATAATCCTTTAATTGTCCCACAAGGGGAAATTTGGGTGTAACAGCAGCAAGAAAGACACGTATACAAACAAACAGTACACAGGACAAAAACACACATATTTACCTGACGTTTGCGCCATCGGTACGATTCGCTTCAGACCAGCACGACCTCCATTGTCTGTGCTGGGTACTGCTGCCATCTGACCACACCCGCTGCTGTTCAAACCATTTCCTTTTTTTTTTTTTTGTTCAAACCATTTCCATGCACGGTGACCTCATCAGAGGCGTTTGATGCCAGCAGAGCGGCGACCTTCATGCTGTTGCTCAGGTTTGTGTACTGAGCCTGATAGCAGCTGCATTATGAAAGAGAGACACATGTTTCTGTGCTTTGTGCAACTGATGAACCCAGTGAGTCCTACAATAACAATCGTTTCCATGGCTACAAGAAGATGCTAAATGACTGAATCAGTGAATGTTTCATCTCACTTCTCTTTCTAGTGAGCTTGTCTTCATAGAGCCACAAAATGTAGAAAACGGCTGACATGAAGAGAAGCATCCAGTCTGCTGAACTGGAAACAGTTAAAACCGTCCAGATAATAAACATCTGCTCCTCTATCAGAAGGTCATCGTAATTTATGTAAATCCAGATGTAGTATCAGGAAAGGTAAGGGCTCATTAAGGTTTATTTGGTTAAAGATATCAGGAGTCTTTTCTTTATGCAAAAATCTGCCTTATTCAAATTCATTTAAGAAGCAAAGAGTCCTCAGACTGACCTCCATCAACCACCACATGGTGAGTGAATGAAGTGTGAAACCATGAAAGCAGACTGAGGTGATACCCTGTAAGCTGTGCTCGTGCATTCATCCTCTCTGACCTTCTTCTGCACTTCTAGTCTGTGAGTGTAATAAAGCTTTTCTCACAGCATCAAACCTTGAACACGTCTGCTGCATCAGGCCTCAGGTTTGTGTCTTCATTTGAATCTGAAGCTGAGTTTTGTGTGTTTGCAGGGCTGCTTCACCACCTCAGCCATATTTGAGTGAAGCTGTAATTATTATAATTCTGGAAAGAGCAGAAAAGCTCAACTTGTTATAGACTGAGGACACAGCCCGACACGGTTTTGTTGTAACATCAGCATATCTTTTTTAAAAAAATTGTGTTTTTAGCATCTTTGCATTTGGTGCGAAGTGATACAGTGAAAACAGACAGGACACGCCCCTTCTTTTCTTTATTATCCACCTCGATTTCCCAGTAATAAACTCTATTTTACTAATTTGCTAATTATCTTAGAGTAATACATAAAATTACTTTCAAAACATGTTAACATCTCAAATGTATTTAAATAATAATACATTTAAAAAGGTAAATATATATATTAACAAAATAAAATATATTTAAAATCCAATATATTCACTCACTGGACACTTTGTTAGGTACACCTGTTGAGCCCTGATTATATAACCAGCCAATCACGTGGCAGCAGCTCAGTGTATTCAGGCAGGTAGACGAGGGCAAACTGACCTGTTGAAAGGTCCACAGTCACCTGATCTCAGTCCAGCAGCGCACCTCCGGGATGTGGTGGACCCAGGTGTCCGAGGAAGGTTTCCAGCACCATGAATATAACAACAACACAACGGGACAGAGGTTGATGTTTATGACGTGTTTTTATGTCTGATGTGTTTCCTTATGTTAGTGAGGGACTCGCAGCGAGGTGTACCTAACAAAGTGGTCGATGAGTGTATAAACGTGTTTCTGACGCTCCGCTGTTTCCCAAACCTGCAGCAGGTCTGTAAATACCACAGGTTTCCGGTGACGACCAGCAGGTGGCGGTAATACGCTCACAGTCGGGACGTCACCTGCGCGGACCAGAAGAAGAAGCGGGGCGGAAGTTATATCTGTGTTGTGTTTGTAACGGTTCTTGTTGGTTCCAGGCTAAACCGGGAGGACTCGTGTTACCGTGAATGTCGACGGTGTGCGTGTCTGCGGATGGAGCGGACGGTGACGGTGAGTCCATCACATCTCGGCTGAACCTCCGGTGTCGGAGCTGGTCTCTGACACGGGGCTCTCGGCCCCCGTAGCGGCGTTTCGGGTCCGGGTCTAGCTCAGCTCAGGTTTATTTACACAGCGCCAAATCGCGGCGCCACTCGTCAGACCACGCCCCGAGCCAGCACTTGGCGACCGTGGGAAGCAAAAACTCCATTTCCCGCGCGATGACGTCATGGCGGTGTTTGGGACGCTCCTCTGTGTTTACATGATGTTCGGCTCACCTTGGCCCTCAGGCACGCGCTCCGTGACGTGACTAGTGGAGACACGCTAAACCCTGTAACTGAAGGACTGATGAGAGGTGAAACGTCCATGACCTGGATGACCGAGATCCTCCACAGACACGCCTGCGTGTGTTTTATGTGTGGCTCTAACGGTTTTTCCCGTGAGGGTGGACTTGAGGGTGACAAACCCACGAAGCCCAGTGTCAGATGTGGCTCAGAGGAGACGCGCTGAGTTGCGGTTGTTTCTGTGGCAGCGTGGTTGCTGTAGTATGTGGACTCAGCTCTGGAGGGCCCGCAGAGGTCACATATGGACCTTTATTACAAAAGCTGCGGGGTCGGACTCTGACGTAATGGACGATGTTTCCCAGAAAGTTGTTTCTGTCCATCTGCAGCAGCGTTGCAGTCAGAAACCTTTGCGCTGTCCTCCACGCGACTGCACGAACGCTGCAGCTGTGTGACCAACAAAACGGCACCATCGCACAAACATGAGCGCAGACTCATGATCAGCGTTCAAACTACAAATACCGTTAATAGCAGCTCTCAGATGAGCGAAACTCAGGTTTACTGTTAAAGAGAGTGAACTCTGAGTCAGTTGCCATGGTAACTTGGAAGATTTTCTTAAAGTGCAGCAAGGGGCTGTAAACACAGTGAGGGTATATATACGTATATCTGTGCCCCCTTTGGACGACCTGAGTCACTGAGTGAAGATGAGGCTGAAATGAGATTAAAGTGAGTTTCACTGTGTTCACATTTTGTATCGATTTGTTCATAAATTCAACAATTTGAAAGATTCAGTCTCTTAAATTAATATAAATCACATAAATCAGTCTCAGTAGGTCCGACTACACGGCAGCAGACTCCAACCTGGATCCAGTTGCATGATATCTGATCACAGCTGATCGTACTGTCCACGATCTGTAAGCTGTTTGTATTTAACGAGACCATCCTTCCAAAACTGTGCTGAACTATTTCAAATGTAAATTACCAACATGTAGACATTGATTTGAAATTTCCTACAGCTTGTTTGTCTTTACAGACAAAACTTTAAATTCAAATTGTATTTTTTTCAGTTACGTGTCTGTGAGAAAGCTGCCGTCTGTCACTGAAGGCTGAAATGAGATAAAGTTATAAAACAGTAAAGACGGTGTGTTATAAAAACAGCCTGTGGCGTCCGTCGGCAACATGAAACTTGATTAAGAAACTGAAACGCTGATAAACTGTTGCGGATGTTTATGATGATGACAGAGTGACCCGAGCCCGTCCTGATTAAGATGAACATCACGGTGCGCACTAATGTGTCCAAAGACTAACATGGAGGCTCCGCTCCTTATTTACTCTTTGCTGTGGGGCATCCTGGGATCAGAGCTCCACTGATGATGACTTTCTTTACTCCTGCACATAATCTGTGATCAGCCTTTCTGGAACCAAAAACAAAGAGTTTCTGATTTTAGAGTTTGTTGAACCTGCTTCTTTGGATCACTTCCTCTGTTAGCTCACTTCCTCCGTGCTATGTTAGCGCTCCCACTAGCTGCTGCTGTCGCCTGATAAAGTAAAGGGGAATCATGTCACCAATGTCAGATCTAGCTTTTTGTGTCAGGATCAGACTGATTACTGATTCTCATATTAGATTGGCACATCACCAACGCCACAAATGTTCTCATCATAGCTGCCGGACTTCATCAGCTTCTGTCTTTCAGGAAGCAACTTTGCTGAGCAACATGGAAGCGACAGGAGCATCAGGAGACAACCTGAGTCAGCAGGTAACTCAGACGGTGGCGTGGGAACCTCCAGCAAACCTTATTTTATTTATCTGTATCTGCACCAGGATCTCCTGCTTTGAGCTTTTTAACCAAAGAATATTCACATATGATCCTGCAGCAGCATTTTATTATTATTAGTCCTTTATTTATCCAGGTAAAAAGTCTCATTGAGATGCCTGGCATCATGGCAACAAAAGTCAAGCATGTGGAAAATGTGTGTGAGTGTGTTTGCATGCACGTAGAACACTGTGAGGCTGGTGAAGACCCCACGAGCCCTATGAAGACCGTTCTGTGTCTTGTGACACACTTTCAGGATCTCCTGTGGTCCATACGTGCAGGAAACGTGAATTTGTGTGATTTTTATGGCATTTAAATTGACTGATAAAAGAAAAGACCTCCAGCTGGAGTTCGGTCTCACCTGTGAACGTCTCCGCCTTCTCATCTCCGCAGTGCAGCAACTGCGACGCAGCCTCCGCCGCATGTTGGTGTCTCGACTGTAATGAAGCTCTGTGCGGCGTCTGTGTGTCGGCGCATCGCAGAGTCACGGTGACCAGATCACACAGGCTCCTCCATCACCCGCCAGAAGGTAAAAAAACCCCACCCACACCCAGATCCAGATTCTGTTGGAGAGACACTGCTCTCTGCTGTCAGCTGACCGTCGCTGTTGACCTTTGACTTAGTGACGAGCTTCAAAAAGATCTTTTATGTTGTAAAAGTGTAGAAGCACATCCAAGTGTGTGTAAGCCACAACTTGTGAAGTATTTGGTTCGTGAATTGGAGTTTGATACAAATGAAACAGGATGTGATGGTTCCAAGAGCAGGAGCAGCCAGAGGCGCTTCAGTCCACTGTTTTTATTTATTGTTGAAGAACTGAATCCTCCAACAGCCGGACAGAGTTTAGTCTTTTTGACCCGACGGGTCGAGCTGTAGAAACGACGACTCGCTTTAATGGGGAGTGGTCTGCTAAGCCCAGCCTGTCTCTGCAGTGTTCAGCTCAGAAACACTGGTGCTTTCCAGCTTCTGTGTTTACACCATTAGCGTGTCAGGACTCCAGCGTCTCCCTCACCTGCCAAACTTCCACTGAGCTCCGAGCCCAACACGTGGAAACGAAGGGAAAGTCCCGCAGATAATATCAAACACAGTACACTCAGTATTTGTACTACATTGTTACATATTTTACTTTATTTTCATACTTTGTTTCAGGTCTGAGCGCTCGGTCCAGAGACGGTTTCAGTGGGAACCTGATTTTACCTCATCTGTTACAACCTGTTATATTATAGTAATCATCGAGATCACGGTCAGTGAGCAAACTAAGTGATAATCTGTGTGTGTGTGTGTGTGTGTGTCTCTTCAGGAAACATCTTGTCTTCTCCTACCAAGTTCTGCAGACTCCACCCATCTGAGCCACTCCAACTCATCTGCTTCACCTGTAAGCAGCTCACCTGCAGAGACTGCCAGCTGACGACTCACATGAACCACAGGTGAGCTGGGTCGGACGCGTTCTCGAGTTAAAGTGGTTGTAGTGCAGACGTGAGCCGGCACACTGAGCCGTGAGCTGCTTTTGTTTCCAGGTACCGCTTTGTCAGTGAGGCGGTGGTCAGCCTGAAGAAGCAGCTGGACGTGTACGTTCATTCCACGACGAGGCAGGAGGACACGGTGAGGCGCAGTCTGCAGGACATGGAGACCAGGTACGGCTGATGATTTCACTGTTTACTTCCTGAAAAGACGATGGCTCACCAGCAGAATAAATCCTTACTCCACAGAACCAAACAGAAATGTATATCAGCAGCTCGAGTGTTTTTAATCTTCTTAAATGTGTTTTCGTTTAGCACATTATGAGTAAATGTACAGAGGAGCAGCAGAGCGGGTGTCTTTAACCGTGTGCAGACCGGCCAACACAAAAACACCGTCTCTGTACGTTCAGTTCTGTGTTGGTCGAATCATTTGTGGGCCTGAAATCTGCCACAGAGGGCAAAAAAACAACATTTCAATTTACACAGTGGCACTGGAAATACTCTTAAACGGGAATACTGTGTGTGAGTGTGACTGGTTGTCAGTCTCTACGTGTTGGCCCTGCGACAGACCGGCGACCTGTCCAGGGTGTACTCTGCGGGGTAGGCTCCGCCCCCCCCCCTGTGACCCTGACAACGATAAGCAGAAGAGCGTGGACGGGAATAATGTGTGGCTGCCCTTGGAAAGTGTGCAGCGTGGCTTGATAAACATCCTGACCTGTGACGTCTCAAACACGGAGCAGGAAAGGATCAAAGTATCACTCGCCACAGGCTGCAGGGCCTCCTCCTGATCTCCTATCACCATACTGCGTCGGGTTTGAAGTCGTTATTGCTCGTTAACGTGAAACGCTCCCACTGTCAGACTCCGCGCTGCGGTGAATCCTCACACAGACTTTTACTCGTTATCTTCATGTTTGGAAACATTCAGAGAATTTGTGTTACATTCACTGAATTTCACTGTTCTGAGTCTCCACGCGGTAAAGCTCGCCACCTCATTCCTACTTAGTATTAATAACTTGAACCTTCCTCAGGTGCTCGCTGTCCCGTCTGAGGACTTTCTGGAAAATAACCCCCCCCTCGTGCTTCTGCTGTGTTTCAGGCTGCAGAGCATCGAGCAAACAGAGTCTCGTGTGAGGACCGAGCTGCAGGCGGGATTCGTCGCGTTTGCTAAACTTTTGAAAGCGAAAATGGTGTCACTCCTCAAAGACATAAAGGTAACATCCATCAGCTGTTTTAAATATTGTTGCCTATCTAGCAGGCTGATGTCATTTCCTGTTTCTCTCTGCAGTGTCCCCGTCTCTATCTAAGTCTTGAGAGAGAGTTGATCCGCTGCCTCAGCTTCAAGTGCACGTTTCTCATTTGTTAGAAAGTGACGCAAATCTTTTCTCAAAATAGGAACCGAATTTATGAACAGATTTTTCTTCTTGCTGATGTTTCTTAGAAGTCTTTCAGTCTGTGCTCTGAAGCTGTTGCAGTGAGTTTCACTCCTCAGCGTAGCCTTGAGTCTTATCTGCTGCTGCTCTCAGTATCAAACGTCTGTGCTCACTCAGCTTCGCACGCCAACGTTTCTGGTAAAATACAAAAAAATGGAGCGCCTAAAAAATGATTAAAGTGTGTGTGTGTGTGCGCGCGTGTGTGTGTGTGTGTGTGTGTGTGTGTGTGTGTGTAGAAGGTGTATGAGCTGGAATGTGAGCAGATTCAGGGGAGGATGGTGAAGATGAAGCAGCTGCAGCAGAGCCAAATGTCCATGAAGGAAACGCTCGAAAAGGCCCGAAATCTCACCGACCTGCCGACCCTGCTCTCACACACCGCACAGGTACACAGAGATGTGGCAGACACACTGCAGCTGTACTCATCATACCATAATATGAAAACATGCGAGGCGCACTGACTCTCAAAATGCTGTGTGACTAATATTGAATATTGAAGTCTTTACAGAGCGATAGAGACGTTTAAACATGTAAATCATACATGAACAGTCATGACAGAAATCTAACAACAACAGTTAGAAGCAAAGAGACTGGAGTTGTTTCCATGTTCATGGATGTCGCCTATCTTCACTAATGTCTGCTGTAGATGCGAAACTGTGGGAGGAGCCAGTCCTCACTGGTACGTCCCCACAGAGTTAGACTAAAGTCCATCAAAGCCAGGCTTTCCTCCCTTATCTGGCTCAACAAAGATTAAAACCCCTAAAAAGGACGTTTCGCACATCATGTGACTCTTAAGTCATGCACAGGGATCCCTATGAGCGTCCCCCAATCATATCAGATAATCATTGTTTATAAAAATCTTTGAAAACAAAACGCAACACTGTTGCAAACAAACAGAAGTTGTGCAGAAAACGTTAATCTGGTGATGTAGAGCGTAGACGGTGAACCAACCATTTTATCCTTGCTTTGTTTTCTCTGCCAGATTAAAACCCAAATGAAGGAGCTTCTAGATCAGGACTCGGACCCCCCTCTGAAAATGCCTGAAGTGAAGCTCATTACCAAGTTGGGTTACGAGGAAACCCTCTCTGAGCTTTGTAAGTCCGCTCGTGTATCTGTTTGTTATGTTGTGTCTTCAGCTTTGCAGCGGATGCTCGGCCGTACGTGTGGAAACCAAACCGAATCATTTTACGAGCTCAGAGTTCATGTCGATGCTGTTTGAGTTTGGATGTAGTTTAATCGAGAGAAAATAATTGCTGCACCCTCCTCCATCTCCTCTTCCTCCATTGTTTCGGTTTCCAGGTAACCTTCATGTTTCCTGGATCCCTTTCGCTGTGCCACCAACCTTGGATAAAAACACAGGAACTCCGGCGACTCCTGCTGCCCCTCCTCCCACCTCCACCTGCAACCCCATCTCCAGCACCGTGATGGACAGCGCCTCTGCTTCTCATTCGCTTCATCTGTCGTTTACATCCTCATCTGCCCCCACACATGGAACAGACTCCACTTCTTTCAAGTCTCCCTCCACCTGTCTGGCATCCCCCGGCCTCCAAACTGAGGCGGCCGGTTACAGTGCTACACCTGTTCCTGATGACTGTGCTGCTACACCTTCTCCATCCTCACAGTCAAGTTCATCTTCGGCCCTTTGGAAATTTTCGCCCAACCTAACCCTTTATAATCTCCTCACTCGCAACCAGGTTGGCACTCAGGAATCGGTCAATCCTCGATCTCCGCCCTCGAGTTCCCCATCGGGTCAGTTGAGTCATGCTCTCCCTCCAACCGCCACCTCTCCTGCAACCTCCAACAGGCCCCTCCCCCCATCCTGTAATGCCCCAGGCGCTCCAACCAGCCGTGCCTCTCCTTTGTGCACGCTCTTATCCAGCTGCTCCACTTCCATTACCCCTCCTGCTCACATCTCCACCTTTCCATTGCCCACTGACAGCACCCCTCAAACTGGCAAAGCTATGAACTGTAACCCACCAGCTACCACCAGTGTTCTCCCTCCACCATCAACGTCTGTGTCTGCTCAGCCCAGCGTTCCTCTGTCCTCCACGACCGCCATGTTTCCCTCCTCCATCACTCCTTCCATCTCCACCCGTCCCAGTCTGTCAGCACTTGTGTCCAGTCAGCCCACTATTCCTCCATCCTCCACAACCTCCATGTTTCCCCACTCCTCCACCTCCTCTTATACTCCTTCCACCTCCACCAATCCAGTGTTCACCGGCTCCATCGCTCAAGCCAACACCTCCCCCGACACACCTGTTACCATCAGTAGCTTCTCGTCACCACATTTAACCAATCAGTTGTCTGCGTTTCCCCCCTCCTCCTTATCCACCCCTCTTCCCACCTCCACCTGTCCAGCAGCCACCACCGCGTCTGTTTTCCAGACTCTCGACAGCCGTGTCACTAACCTGGTTGTTCCAGATAGTTCCACGTGTCGCCCTTTGGCGTGGCTCTTGCCCTACGATCAGTGTAATCTTCGTCTGTCCTCCTCCGCCTGCCCCTCGTCTGTTTCTCCTCCAACCGTCTCTTCCACCTGCCCACCTGCTCAGATTTCTAACTCGCCGAGCGCCTCTCCGAATCAGTTCAAACCTCTTGTTACACATTCAAGCATGGTGTTGGCTGGTTCTCCAGCCACCTCCTCCACATTAAACTCCGCCCGTCCCGTGTCCTCCTGGTGCCTCCTCCCCCAAACAAGTAACTTCAGTAATCCTAACCTACTTGTTCCAGTCACCTCTGATGCCACCACCACCTCCTCGACAACCATAAACTCCTCCTCCACCAGCCCACCCACATCCACCTTTGCTGTTCTGACCAGCAGTAACGCTGCTTCGCCTGTTCCCGTCAGCATTCCTTCATCTCTTTGGAGTTCCTCGTCCACTTCGTCCTCTGTAGCTTTTGTATACTCCTCCTCTGCCACCCCGCCCAGCACCACCTGCTCCACAGCGGCGCACAGCTCGCTGCTCCACACGTCTCGCTCGCTGCTCCACACGTCTCACTCGCTTTTTCCAGTCAGCAGTCTCAGTACGTCACAGATCTTCGCTCCCTCTATCACTCCAACCATGTCGTCCTTCATCAGTTCTCCCTCCTCCGCCACCAGTTGTTCATCTCCCAGCTATTTGTTCCTCCCCCAAACTGACGCCTCCCGTTCCTCAGTTGTTCTCAGCATGCTGCCTGCCGGCTCCACGTTCCCCCTGTCGGCGGGTCAGTTTCTATCCTCACTTAAACCCGTCCAACCACTGCAGGTTCTGAACCAAACCGCTGGTCCTCACTGGAACCAGCCCACCATCGTCATGCTGACCAACACTCAGAGTATGTATCAGGTGCTGCTCAACGAGACTGCTCTCATCAGGCTGCCTGATCATCGCGCTTTCCATCCGGCCTCGGCGCAGAAACGAAGCGGCCTCGAGGAAAGCACCATCACAGAAGTGAGTCCAGAGACTTCTGCGGGAAACTCTAGCTGCGACGGACCGAGCGGCACGTTACCGTCAGAGCAGCAAACCATGGAGGATACGAGCCCGGCTTTACCCAGCAGCCCTTTGTCCTCGCTTCAGGAACTCGACAGCACACTTCATCCCCCCTCCCCTCAGGAACAGACTCAGCAGGTTCCCGTGGAGGGCTTGGTGGTTGACTCTCGCTGTGATAGCACTATACAAGATACTGAGGAGGTCCGGGAAACGAAAGAAACCGAGCACGCCACTTGTGTCTCTGACGAAGCAAAACCGAACGCCCTCGAGCCAAAAGACGACTTACCAACACTGGTAACTCCTGACAAGGACATCGAAGAGCTGAGCGCCGTGATTGGACAGGAGGACTTCAGTCTGAGTCGGTGGCAGCCCAAAGTGTCCGTATTGAGACTGCCTGTGTCCCTGCCAAGATTTGGACGGTCCCTTCCCAGTTTTCGTCTGTTACCTGGAGAGACTGAAGATGAGATTTACCTGGAGGAAATGAGCGACGACTGTCAGGTAGGATGCACGATCTGTAACCCAGGCAAACTTGAGAAAGTTGGATTATAAAATGAACCGCTCAGCTTTAAGAGACTGTCGTCGTTGTGCTCCGTTGCAGTCCGATGCCGAAGACGGGCCGGCTGACAAAGAGGATTTCATGAAGCCGGAATCGTCCCCAGACTCTCCGATAACCCTGGAGATTCTTGCCTGCTCGGTTTGTGCATCGCCCGGCACTTCGATCATCTGCTCTGCCTGCGGTCGAGGATACCACAGAGACTGCCACGTCCCCCCAGTTGGACTCGACTTTTGGTAAGAAAAATAATTTTTATCCTTTTGCTTCTTTAAGATGACTGAAGTCCACTGATGTGTGACCATTGGATTGAAAATCAATCTAAAGCCTGTTCAAAAAGGTTTTTTTTTTCATTTTAAGTTATTATGAACAAAACTCAACTCTTTCCTGATTTACTTTTATTATGAAACCTCTGCAGGAAGTCTCTTAACATTGATTCTGTTCATCTGGACGTTTCCAGAGAAACGTTTCGTCATCATCAGGTGACTTGTTCAGCCTCAGCTGACTGCAGGTTTCAATCTTATAAACAGGACATTTGCATAATGACTGAAACAGCCCAGTGAGGGAACAACGGGCTGTGAGGTCAGTTCCTTCAGCATTGATATGCAAATCAGGCTGTGTGATTTAACCAAAATCTCATATCCCGATATCAGACGTCTATCGTCCCGATAACCATATAAGTCACAAAACTTTAACATTTATCTAAATTCTGTGAATCTCGGGCAGCTCGACTTGTGTGAAGTGTTTCCAGCTGGAGTCGAGTGTTTTAACCGATGCATGAAACGACACATTTTTAGACATAAGTTGTAACGGCGCCGTTTCTTTGTGAGTATTTATTACATGGCGTGCTGCGGGGAAAAGCCTGTTCTAACGTTTGAGTCTAAGGTTTATTTTTTAGCACCTGGCGGCTCTTTTTTTGCTTCTCATCTGTTAATAATCTGCTCTTTCACGTGATTCAGTTTATTTTGAAAAGTCTCAACAGGATCTTGAGCTTTATTGTGAAAGGTTTATGTGGAACATAAACAAGCGGACACGCGATGCTGTTACCGTCGTTGTTGCTAACGACAACACATAAAAACAGGCGCTTGTCTGTCTGTAGTGTGGTGATATTAAATATAAGAGAAAGAGAGAACTTTAAGAAAGGAATATAGCCACTGCAGTGACATCAGAACATGAAAAAATATTGACGTAAACAGTTTATTTTTCGACACCACGAAACAAACAACAGCGTAAAATGAAACGATGGATATATATGGTTATATCGAACAGCCGTACTGCAAATTGCTGTCATGACAAGTCTTAATGCTGAAGGAACTGACCTCCCAGCCCGTTGTTCCCTCAGTGGGCTGTTTCAGTCATTGTGCAAATGTCCTGTTTATAAGATTGAGACCTGCAGTCAGCTGAGACTGAACAAGTCACCTGATGATGACGAAACGTTTCTCTGGAAACGTCCAGATGAACAGAATCAGCTCTTTGGGTTTTCCTTACCTGGTGATTAAGCATCAAAACCTCTGCAGGAAGTGCATACTATGAGTGTCAGTAACATCACACAGTGAAGTGACCTCTGCTGTTTGACCTTGTCCTGCAGGTCAGAGTGGGCCTGTTCATTATGTCAGAACCTGTCAGACCCGTCGGACCCCTACAGCACCGAGAGACTTCAGCGCACCAGCCTCAGTCTGCAGAGCCTCAGGGTCACAAACGCTTACTCATGAACCTCACTTCACAACGTGACTCTTGTCTCCATCGGTTTGTGGTAGATTTTCTTCTAAAGTTTTGTGTGTTGTGTCTGTTTTTGTTTTTCAGAGGTGCGAGTGTCTCGTTCTGCATCTGAAGGTTGAAGTCTGCAGTCGGTGCTCTCAGGTCAGTCTGAACAAAGCTCCAGTCAGAGTAGAAGCTTTTAGCAGCTAACAAGTTTATACACTTCATAAAAGGTGCATGAATGAAAATAAACCTGGGAAACGCAAAATAAAGGGTCTCCTGTAGCTGTCGTTGAACCAGCAGGTGGCGCTCCTGCAGCCTGATCAGGTCACAGCGATGAAGACTTTCTGTTTTCTTCTCTTCAGTTTGGCGGTTTGTCTCGGCTGAAGTCGATATCGGACCGCCTGACCCTCCGCCGGCCTCCTCCGTATCAAACGGCCGCGGAGCTCGTCTCTGACATGTGGACTCTGTTTAAAGACGCCTCTCAGGTACGCACGGAGCAGGTGGAGTCAAACATGGAGCCGATGAACTGTTTGTCTCTCTTTAATGAATTAATGAGACGGTGTTAAACTGTACTTTTTGATACTATCATGAAATTAAAATGCCGGATGGATGAAACACATTAATTATTCCATTAATAATAATAATAATAATAATAATAATCCAGGTCTCTAAAGAGCTGTTTGTGCTTGTGAGCACAGCTGCTCAGTTATAAGGACACAAAGTAAAATATGGCTCGCCTTCATAACGTCCAACTTTTTTATGCAGGTATTTGTTTTAAAACTGTACCTTAAACTTTCACCACTAGGAGGCAGAGTTTTACCATGAAGCCTGAGTGGCGTTGCCTCGGTGATAAGAGCAGCAGAGTTGTGCTGTGGATGTGAGAGTCTGTGGTCCTGATCAGCTGTTCCCCGCCCCTCACCCCGCGGCACCTGTCCCTGAAACGTCAAAGAAACCTGAAGGATACGGCGCCTTTTTAGCGGCTGCGAAAGCCGTGCTTCCTGTTAACCTGCTGCTACTGTTAGTTCCCCGAGTTTAAAGAGAGAGCAGGAAAATGACCTGGAGTCAGTCTTACCTGTTCAGGTGATACCTGTCCGCTAGTGTCGGCTAATTATTCTCGACCTCATCGAGCACTGCTGTATGTGAGTGTGGCGTCGATGCGCCGGCTTCCTTTCTCGTCCTCACAGGTGTTTCACGTCTGAAGATGTTGGACGTATAATTTGAAAATAAGTAATCAGAATTTAGGGCTGATTTCACCGCCTGCAGCCATGTTTGCCGTGCAGCTGACGCGCGAGCTTTGGCTTCTTTCAGTGACGCCGAGCTGCCGACGCTCGGCTTCAGCGCAGACTCGCTGAGATAACTGAGCAGCAGGACGAGCCGTCACTCTGCCTTCTCTCTGCTGTTTTCAGGACGACGAGTTGCAGAAACTGCGGGAAAGTTTCCGGATGAAGTTGGTGGAAACTCTGAGTTCGGAGCTCCATCCTTCACTCCTCACCGCACCGAACTCAAACCCGCAAACTGCCGCTGGACACGCAAGCAGATCGCAGCGTGGCCGAGAAGACGAGAGCTTAAAGTTGGAAAAAGAAGAAGGGTTAATACCGGAATCCAAACTCGAGGACTTCAGGAAGAGACTGAGAGACTTTCTGGATCTAAAGGGAAGTCCTGGTCCAAAGAGGAGAAAGAGAGACGATGACTGAGGAGGTTTTAAATGACCAAGAAATCTCTGCACAGCTGCTTTTTTCTTTTTTTAACCCATGAATGTACGAGTGACCTCAGCAATAGTTCGTATATGACCTTTACACATAAAATGAAGGAGAAACTGCCCGTCGCAGTTTCCTGTAGCAAGCGGCCGTCTTCAGATGTCATAAGTTTGTGTGAAAAGCCCAGCGAGACTGAACGTAGCGCGATGGAAACGACGCGACTAACCGTGCGTGTGACCGGAAACACGCTCGTCTGCTCCGCCTTCATCGGTTTGTTTCCTCGCTGCTTTTAAAAACCAAAATCAGAGTTTCAGCGGCTCAAAGAAAATAAAAACCTGTCCTGATGCAGATTTGATCGGTGGAAGCTCGGCTCTGTGCGCTCGGTGCTGGAGCTCCTCCAGGGGTGCAGGGGCTCCTCCAGATGTGCAGGGGCTCCTCCAGATGTGCAGGGGCTCCTCCAGGTGTGCTGCACTCTGATGTACAGGAAGCATCTGAGCTCACAGCAGGCAGCTGTAGACAGTTACAGCACGAGTAACTTTAAAAAGCATTTTTCAGAAACGCCATGTGCCTTAATTTAAAGCCGCCCACAGAACCTGGAAACCCAGCCGCTGATGATGAAGTCAGTTTCTGAGTGGCCGCCGCGTGTAACCCCACAGGAGTATTAACCCCGTCGTCTCTCACTGACAGCGTGAAAAACCGCTAAAGGTTTCCTCTGCGGTGGGCGGGACGCGTCCTCGCCAGCGCTTCTGTATTTCTGCACTCAGTTCGCTGCATCTGCGAGTCGTAATCGATGATTTTGGTCTGAACTTTAAACAATATTTTTGGTATGAAAAAGTTCATTTTTCCGGGAGTGGTCACATCTTAGAGGCAAGAATTTTTCAGTATTTCACATTTTTCTTCAAAAAGGGATGAAATGATGGCGGCATCGCTCGGCCCAGTGTCCGTGCTGTGAGCGCTCTGACTTTATAAACATTAAACGGGTGATTTTGTCTGAGACTTTGTGCCGGGCTCGATTTTACCGCCTTATGTAAAGTGAGTGTGACACGTTCATTCAGGCAGGAAGCTGTTACTTTTGTAATTACAGCGAGTCCTCGGTGGCAGTTTTGTTACCTTTACTACTGTCAGATTTCATCTCTTTGGCAGCTGATCAGCCATAATGTGTTCTAATTTTTGGTATTTCCCCTGAAAGCTGAGGCGCGCACGCCTGCAGCGAGTAGCGTGACATGTTTACAGGTTAGTCCGAGTTTTCTCGTTTGATATTTCATGTTTTACACGAACGTTGTTTTTTCTCTTACGATGAAATACGCAGAGAATTTACTTTAACATATATAAAAATATAACATTAAAATAAACGTTTTTTTCCATAACTGACTGGCTTTGTATCTGAGATGAGTCTCGTGTATTTACTGTGAACATTCAGTCGACATGTGATTTATTGTAACAGGCGACTCTGTATTTGATCTTTGTCTTCAGTATTTGACCCACATGCTGCTGAGGTCTCAGCTGTTGTTTATTCCTTCATTCCAGCTTTATGACGAGATTTGTTTCCTAATCACTTCATGTCGCTGTCTTATCTTTCTTTAATAATTATATGTCAAAGCTGTCGTGTCCAAACGGATCCCAGTCACACATCTGTGGAACCAATGAGCCGGTTCATGTTTCCCCTGGTGTTGGTTGGGGAACTCTGACTCGTTTCTTTGTGTGCGCAGTTCGATGTCATGCACATACCTGTGTTCAAACTTTATTGTGAAAGTCTGTGTTTATGTTCCCTTTTTTTAGGAATTTGAAATAATTTTACTTTGATGACTCATCGAAAAAATAAAAATCTACTGAAAAAGAGAAACGGGAATCAGAACAAGAATTCAAATCTAAACGTGGATTCTTCTTCGGCTGTACATTTTATCAAAGAAAATGTTGGGCTGTGTTTTAAAAAATACCATTAAATTTTTTTTTCACGTGACTGTAAATCACATCTTTACTCAGAACACAAATTCCTTTGTGCTTGCATCAGGAGGCCGTGAAAGTCTGCCAAATGCACCATCCGCTGTGGAAACCCCGTGAGACTTTGATCGTTGTCTTATTGAAATTTCTCGGTAGGCTGAAAATCGTGCGGTGGGACAAACCGCGTTTAAACCAAATGATTAAGTGTAAACTTCGAGAGTCTTAGAGTCGACGATAAAAAGGTCACATATTTGTCTGCATGATTTATACACCAAATATGGCCCCGAGGGATCCAGTAATGAATAAAGATCAGATAACTTGGTCTAAATTTGTTGGAAATTAATCCTCCTTTGATATCAAATTAAATGATTTGTTGAGGAAAATAATAATCAGTTAAGTTCTGCGGCTGCTGAAGAAAAACAGGAAGAATAAGGTTGTTCAGCTGGGAGCCAGCAGGTGGAGCCAAAGAGGCGCAGAAACGAAGCTCGTCGTTTAATCGACGCGCTCTGCAGCACATAGTCTTTCCCCACTGAGACCAACCCAGCTGCACAAATCTGCAGATTTTCACACGATGCAAAAATGTCCCAATAACTGAAAAATGAGACAGAGACACGCCCTCAATGTCCCCTCACTTCAAAACAGGTCAGATGGTATAAGAGCAGAAAGGTTGTAAACAACAGAGAAAGGTCATTATATCACCACCACCCCACTCCCACCCCCACCCACCAATCAGAGTGGTGCAAAAATGTCCTAAAATGTTCCCACAATTAGTGAAAGCCCTGAAATACCCTCAAAAAGACACCGACACAAGCACGTACACAAAGATGCTCATATCTGCCTCCATATCTGCCTCGTTACTGCTGTAATAAGACTCCAGATAAGACCCTCCACCAAGCACGGGCTGCAGTCCGACTGGGCTGTGACTCACAGCTCCGAAGCCCCGCCCACACGGGGTACATAAACCGGCGATCTGAAGCGGCGCCTCCAGATCTTTGGCATCTATTGTCAGCAAACCTGAACTGATTCCTGATGGTGGTACAGGAGAAAAGTCGTATGGAGGCGATGGAGGGGAACCAGCAGAGGGTGGAGGTGAACATCCTGCTGCTCGGAGCTCACAATGTCGGCAAGTCCGGTGAGTAAAGATCAAACTGGCTCATTTCCAGAATATTTCACCTTTGCTTACAGAACATTTTCATGTTGATTCGTTAGAAATATCCTCCTCTTTATGTTTCTCTTCTCGTATTTTCACTTCATTTCTAGTTTTCTAGCTCAAATGTTGCTCAGAGGAAGCAGCTCTGTAGTCATCTATGAACATATTTCAATGTTCTGATTTCTGTTTTTACTTTGCAGTGTTTTCTTTGATCTAATGATCTTTTCTCTCTGTGCAGCTCTCACCGTCAGATTTCTGACCAGGAGATTCATCAGCGAGTACGGCGACATCGGTGAGAGCTCTGTCTGTTCAGTCAGAGAGAACGTGTGTGTTCACATGCTCCGACTGTTCGAAATCATTATTCAGTGTCAGTACTATGAATATTTATTCACGCTTCCCCTTTATCTCGCGTTCTTTCAGAGTCAGTTTACAGCCGAGTTGACAGAATTGATGGGCAGGAGATCTGCTTCAACATCTGGGACTCTCAGTATGCACAGGTAGGTCTCCACCTGGCTGCACCTCGCACACACACAGGTGTATTTCCAGCTCTTTAAAATGTGATCCTTTATATTAAAACACCTTTTTGGTTCCCAAATTGTGGCTGAGCAAACAGATTTAAAAAATATATTAGACACCAGTGCTAAAGATGGAGCGGGTACCACACATCAGTATCCATGGTGATTAAAGGGCATCTTAAATCTGAGATAAACATGATTAATAAAATAAACATGGGGAAAGTGTTTGCTAAGGTCATAGGTCAAGTGTCTCCAATAGAGCTCTATACCAAGGAACGTCAGAAGAGTCGCCCCCTGATGGTCAATAGACAGAATGCAGACTGAGGACCAATCGTTTATATCGAGCGTGTGGTTAGTTTAGTTCGACAGATTCGTTTGGGGAACCTTTTTGCATAAATTTGCATATTAACACCATAAATAATGATGTGAGCATGAATTTTAGAGTTTGTGCGTTTGCTTTCTCTACAGCCCGGAGAGAAGAGTTCATCCGTCAGCGACAAACAGCTGCAGTGGGCTGACGGGATGATCCTCGTCTACAACATGTGTGATCGCAGCAGCTTCGACGTTGTCCAGCAGCAGCTGCAGCAGATACGTCGAAGCAGGAAGCCGTCCTCTGTCCCCATCATCATCGTGGCAAACAAACGCGACCTGCAGCGGCACCGCAGCGTCTCTGGCGAGGAGGGACGGTTGCTCGCCCTGTCCCAACAGTGTGGCTTCTTCGAGGTGTCCGCGGCGGAGACGTACCACGGCGTCCTGCTGGTGTTTCACCGCCTGGTCGACCTCGTGAAAGAGACGCGAGCTATAAGAAAAAGCATGGCCGGCGTCCGAGGGATCGTCAGGAGCGTGTCTGCAGTGTTTGCAAAGAAACGGGCGGAGTAGACTCAACATGCAAAGGTTGTTTTTGCTCATTCTGATGAGATGAAAACGTCAGGGCGAGAATTTCCTGTCAGATGCCTCCTGAGTGAAGTCAAAGGTCAGATACGAGACGGGCTGAGGAGGTTGAGAGAACGATTCTTTGTTGGAAGGTCGACGGTAAAGCTGGTCAGAGAAAAGTTGTTTCAGAATAAAGAGGGGCGGCTGGAGCTGAAGACCTTTAGCTCAGCTAGCAGAGAGGCGATGAATATCTCGGCACTTATCAGACACTGACACGAAGTTTCTTCCTCAGAGGATGAATCCTAATTACACAGGTGGTCCTCTGACTTTTCCATTAGCCGCACAGGCAGGATGCTCTTCCATCCGATGAGCTGACGAACTCTTCCAGCACCGAAGAGCGTGAACCCGACTGACTTCAGTCACGTAACCTCCTCTGATTAAATTCTGGTAACCATTCTATCGAACCAATAGTGTTGTAATAGGGCCGACATTATACGCTCCATTCTTTGGTTTGTGACCAAACGTGTAAAAACACTGACTGTAGCATTAGCCTCGTGTGTAGTCTTTAGCACGCTAAGGTAGCAAGCATGCACTAAATTTGCATTGTTTCAGAAAATATTTTAAAAGCTCAACAAATTCTCGAGTTCCCCTTGAAACATCTGAAATCATCAGGACTCTGCAGCCTGGTGGGAATGTCGGAAAGTTGTGTGTCAGACGGACGTCTTTAATTCATCAGCTACTTACATTTCTGTTGGATTAAAAAACTGGTTTAGATGTGAACTCGCTCACTGACTGACGATCAGCGTTTTTTCTGGCTGTGATTTCAAACAGGTTATCGGGTTCTCCAGACACTAAACTTACACCATCATGGACCTGCAGGAATGCTGGGTTCAGTCTGTTTTTAGCTCCTGGATGAACGAGTGGCCCGCCGTCAGCTGACCCAGCTATCTGGGATATGAGAACAAAAGAACCTATCTGTACTGTAAAATGAATGTTTCTTTTTGTACATAAATCTATTTATTCATATCAGTGTTGTACAGAAACGTTTTCCCCCTGAAATTCAAACCTGAATAAACAACATGAACCAAAGTCACTGTTCAGTCCTCTGAGGTTTGACGAAGCTTTTATTTGAACTTGTGGCTCAGTCAGAAACACTTTCAGATCATCGTTTACATAAGTGGTTTCATACAGACAAGAGTGACAACCATAAAACCAATGATAACTTCTAAATTATCAAAACTATATTAATTAAAAGAGATTAAATGAGTTTCAGCAAATTTCTGTCCAAATAAAACGGGTCACTTCCTGACAGGTTTAAACGTGAAATATTTCAAAGTGCTCGATATTTTGGACAATTACAACCACCGCTGATCACTTTGACTAGATTCTGCTGCATCTGTCTTTTTTACATAATAAAGTTCAGAACTTGGCGAACATTCGTCTACCCAACAAGTCTTGGTATCAAACCCATCCACACATCTCCAACCAACAACACAGAGCCTTCATCACTACTTTGCATCAGTGCTTGATTATCAGGAGCAAAACACAAAATAACATCATAACCAAGCTGCACGTTGACCAAAAAAACAAAACCGCTTTCAGTCACATCTCATCAACTCTGTGACTGGAAAAAGGTTATGAAATGTGGCTAAAGGCTTCTTGCTTCTTCTACAAAGCAAAGCAGATTATGAACAGCATACATTTAACATATTGGAAAGAATTGTGAAATAAATATAGAACATTTTCTGCTAAATGTGAAACAGATCTGGGATTATTTGGGACTTTGTGGCTCGACATTAAACCCAATTAAACCTAATGACAGAGTTTTCTCTGGAATTACATTGATGCAGGCTGATACTCTAGATTCATGTGACGGTGTTTTTTGGGAGGCTTCCCACACGAATCGGTCTTGGGCCCTTTTTTATTTCTTCTGTCTTAAAAACCTCCTTTAGGAAAGCTCTTGTAGGTTTTGCATGTTGCTGCCTGTCCACAGCGAGAACGGCGTCAGCGATCAAATGATAATTTGGTGGCAGCTTTGCGGCTGAACACGAACGCACAAACCAGCAGCAGCTGAGGCAGGTTCGTCTGATCATCCAGGACTGAGGTGGCCGGCTGTAATCGCTCGGGGGTCGGGGTCAAAGGCCGCGGTCGGTGGGGTCAAACCTCAGCGTGGTGTTTAGGAGTCGGTTGTTTCTGTAGCGTTGGCAGCATTTTCGGAGGAGTTGGGGGTCAGGTACTCGAAGGCCTTCTGGCTCTGGGAGACGAACTGTTTGAGCGGGGCGAGG